TGTATGCTCTTCCATACCCTTAGGGTAGTGACATTACTTCACAGGCCGATGAACTAACCCCCAAACTCCATGCTATTCCATGGCTGGTTTGTTGTCCAAACTGCACACATGCTAGATGTTGCTGGAGACATGTCATATGCTATTACTTTTTCTACCAAAGCATTAGATGAAGAGAAAAAGCAAAAAAAAAATATGAAGTCGTAGTGCATATCCACGAATAACGCGTGTTTTGCCTGCGATTTTCCCTTAAAGAGTGTAATTATTTAGAAATATTCTCAAATATCAATAACAATCATAAAAACGTAGACAATACGATCCTACAGCGTAAGCTATATGAAAGGGCTAATCCTGGATTACAGCATGCAGCTGCACCATAAAACATGTGTTCTTAATGTGTACATTCTAGAAGGGTTCTGCCCTTAAGAATCATTTAAGGACAATTTTCATTCGCTGGGTACATGGACCGAAAATGCCTTTGTCACAGTCAGAGAAGGAATGCGGTAAGAAAGGATTTGCATTCTATTCACAGTGGGATCTCGGTGCAGAAGAGAAGCTTCCAATGCCTAGAGCTCAGATGCCCAATAAGGTAAGTATGGCGGGTATGTTTTAGGGCCAGGATAAAGTGACCCTGTCACCACAGGGTCCCTTCTACAAACAAGGCAGCCTGTAATAGAAGAGCCAATTTACTTACCTTTCCAGTGGCCCGTGTGTTAAAAAGCTGATGCTTTGCTGCTCCCCAGCTACCGCATTTATTCTACACTTCCAGGTGTGTAAAATACCGCCTTCTTTTCCCAAACTGTGGCCCTTCACCTTGGCTTGTATGTACATGCGGCGGGGGTTGTTATTATTTTTATTTTATTTATTTTTTACTTAAAGGAGAACTATGGGGTTAGTGTTTTTCCCCATAGTTCTCCTTAGGGTAACGGGAGGACACAAACTTACCCTAAGCTCAGTATACCGCGAGCTACAGCTCGCCGTATATGAGACGCCGCAGGTAAAATATGGGTAAGAATAAATGTTTTATAACATAGGGAAACTTTTTTTTAAATATATTTATGGTACTTTTTTCATTATATAGTAAAAAAAAATAACCCCCTTGGGGGTCACAAAAGAAACCTCTATCTGTCCCCCAAATTTTTTTACATATATTGCAAGGCTATAGTCAGGTCATGCTGACTGGTGAAATTGTTGACTGACTGGTGAGACACCGCCAAATTTTTCAAGCCCTGCTCATTGTCACAGGTCGGCTAGAACTATGAGGTGAGTGGAAATCACTCATCTCATAGTTCTCCTTTAACTTTATTGGTATCAAACCCCTACATCCTTGGTTCTCAACTGGTGGGTCGTGACCCAAAAGTGGGTCGCGGGCCCGTGTTCAGTGGGTCGCTGCGTGCCTTCCACTTTTCTAGGTGAGAGGCTCCTCTGCCTCTCCCCAGCGCAGCTCTGTCAGTTCTCATGCCAAGCAGCGAGTGCCCGCTTGAGGCGGGATGGGCTGGGGCTATGGCCGTGAGTCAATGCTAAAGCCTGATGAAGGGACCCTGTGTGGTCCCAAAAGCGCTTGTTGGTCATATGACAAAAAACTTCAATAAATGAAGCTTTTGCTATCCTAAAAGGACTGGTGTGCTGGTGACATTTCAAAAATGTTGCTGACATTCGTGGCGCCATCCGCAGTCACTGCGAGCACCCCCCCAATACAAGGGACATATCGGTAAGGAGTGCGACAAGGATAGTACTTATGGCCGTGAGGGAGCGCCATCCATACATGCGTTGCTTACAGCTTCCTCGCATGTCCTGTAGAGGTGCCTGGACTGGAGTGACATCACATTCTGGCTCCTGACACCTCTACAGGGCGTGCAAGGGAGCTGTACCAGCATTGCACGTATGGATGGAGCTCCGACACAGCACAGCAGCCCACACTGGACTCCAGGCTGAGGATCCACTGCAGTTCTTGTAAGGTGGGAAGACTTTAAAAATGTTTTGAAAAAATATATACATTTTTGGGAGTGCGCATGTGTGTGTGAGATTGTGTGTGTGCTTGTGTATGTACAATATGTCAGCGTTTTTGAGGGCCCGTCCAGAAGGTGTGCTGCGTTGCCATTTATTTGAATGGTACCCCCAAATGCACCTCCCACCTACAATTCATACGCCCGCACCATAACGTGCGGCACCCTAATGCCGTGCGTTCCACTGCAGTGAAGACATTGCAGACTTGGGTCGTGACTTAATGACTAAGGACAAATGTCCATTCAATTCCGTCTCACTGAAACACAATCATTTTACCTCCAGCTCCAATTTTCCAAACCAGAATGGAACGTATGTAAACGGATATAAACTGACGCACATCCACTTACATACACCCTCCCATATGTGGGTCCATGTTTTGGTTCTATTGCAAGATGGAGGGAACATGGAATGGAATCAGAACGGACATGGATGTCATATATGTGACACCCCTATTCGTTCTGATCCGACTTAGCAGGGGATATATCTATGGGTTCCATGCAGTAATGATGCGTAGAAGCGCATGTGAAAGGGGCCTAAGGATGAGCAAAAACCAGATGGAGAAGACAAATGTCGAAACCGCACTCCCATCCTCACTCCCCCAATCCCACTCACCCCACTCCCATCCTCACTCCCCCAATCCCACTCACCACACTCCCATCCTCACTCCCCCAATCCCACTCTCTGCACTCCTAATGCATTCCCCCAATCCCACTCACTGCACGCCCATCCTCACTCCCCCAATCCCACTCACCACACTCCCATCCTCACTCCCCCAATCCCACTCACCGCACTCCCATCCTCACTCCCCCAATCCCACTCCCCCACTCCCATTGCACTCACTCAATCCCACTCACTGCAATCCCATCCGCACTCCTTCCATCCCACTCACTGCACTCTCATCCGCACTCTCTCCATCTCACTCACCACACTCCCTCAATCCCACTCACTGGACTCCCATCCTCACTCCCCCAATCCCACTCACCGCACTCCCATCCGCACTCCTTCCATCCCACTCACCACACTCCCTCAATCCCACTTACTGCACTCCCATCCGCACTCCTCCCATCCCACTCACCACACTCCCTCCATCACACTCACCGCACTCCCATCCGCACTGCCTCCATCCCATTTCACTGAATTCCATCATTAAAGGAGAATTATGGGGCAAGTGAAATACACTCATCCCCATAGTTAGAGACGGTGTGTGACACTGTCACACGTCAGCTCTATTGATCGAGAACTGAGCAATAACATACCGCTGATCACTGAGTTCATCTTCTCCCTGCAGAGAGAAGTGACCGTCAGTCATCACTCCCCAGAGGGAGTCACCTCTTAGCAATTATCCACTTGTGACCCAAAAAAGGTTTGGCCATAGTTCTCCTTTAATGGAGTACGTCTTTATATTTCAAAGTCTTTTATTATTATTATTATATTTTCACAAATAACAACATGTACACATATCATACATACATACATACATACATACAATCATATATTCCCCTATATTGCTACCATTCTTCCTCTTCCCCTCCCCTCACCCTTCTCTCCTCTTGCCTACTCCCAAAAAATTATGATTTATAAACATGTCCCTTTGGTATAAGCATCATTTTTAACTTATATACTAGTTAATGTCGGCAGATATTATATCTAATTCATTTATTTAACATACACTCCCCCTGTGTATTACACCGGGGAAAAGACATAAGGTTAAGGAACAATGCTTCAAAAAAAAAAAAAAGAACAATCCAACTAAATAATAATTCAATAGACTCTCTACCGAGGTTCCCACCCTCCCCTCCTCACTAGGGCTATCTTACTTCATATAACATCTCTCAAGCCATTATACATCATCCAAGGGGACCAAATTAACTCAAATTTTTGTTCGTTATCATGAAGCACACTATTCATCTTTTCATGGATCATTATCCATGACATTTTTTTACTTAAATTGTTTAAAGGAGATACTTGGTGACCTCCAGGCTTTGGCTATAGTAATTTTGGCCGCTACAAAGAAGAAGAAGAAGATTAATCTATCCTGAGCCCTGGACAGTCCTGGAATTAGACAATTCAGCAAAACATACTGAGCTTCTTTTGGGACGCGAACCCCCATTATTTTATATTTCAATGCGAAAAGTCTATTCCAAAAAGATCTAATTTTTGGACACTGCCACCATATATGATACATAGTTCCCGGCAGAATACAACCCCTAAAACATACAGGAGACACCTCTGGGTAGATCTTAGCCAGCCTGGACGGAACCAAGTACCACCTGGCCATAACTTTATAATTTGCTTCTATCAAAGACATATTAATTAATCCCTTGAATCCCCGAGTGCAACAGCTTTTCCAACTTTCCTTTGAGATAACTTGTGTTAGATCTTGTTCCCATGCTATCATGTAGGGCAATTTTTCCTCCGATTCCACTAATAAAGCGTAAATTAATGATATACCTCCAGTCTGTCCTTCTCCCAAACACCACCTCTCATATTTCGTAACAAACTGTTTATCCAATTCCGGCAACGTCAATGATGCAAAGAAGTGGCTAATCAGCCTAAATCGGAACAGTTCAGCTTGCGGCATATGTAAGGTCTCCTGACAATACCTCAAGGTCAACGGTCTGCGTTCCCTAAAACCTTGTGCTATCCTATATAAGCCTTTATCCTGCCACCAACGGAACGGGCCATATTGTCTCCCTGGGCTAAACCTGGTGTTACCAAAGATTGGTGCTAAAGGTGTATGTGGTGATACAAAATCTCTATTCTCCCTCACCGAGTCCCAAATAAGCATAGATTGAGAGAGTGTGGGGGCCAAGACCGCCGGTCTCTGTCTTGGGAGCATCCATTTTAGTTGATCAATCGGCACCTTTGAAGCTGACAAGGGCTCCATCAGGACCCAATCTGGGAGATACTTCTGATTATACGGAGTACGTCTTTATGACATCATATGTCCTTTCAGACCCTTACACAAGAATACTGAAGATTACAAAGAGACTGACCTTCTCCAATTTCTCAAAGTGCTCCCTCAGGAACTTCATGGGGCGATCTGGTTTGGCGATACACAAGTTCACAATACATTCTTTCAGGATCTGCTGAATGTTGTACTTTTGTACATAGACCTCACAGCCTTTTAAACTTTCGTCTTCTAGATTAGAAGAGGAAGAAGAAGCCATCTTGGGGTCAGTAGTAGGAATTCCTCAAAACCTAAGAAATCAAAAACAGTATGAAAGTCATGTTTAGAGGGAAAGGATGGAACTTATCAGGAATGGACAGGGCTTCACAATGCTACACGTCCAGCACATTCACATCATAGTTTTTAGGGATGCACCGATACCAGTGCCGATACCAGTTCAGACACCAGGTCAGATACCAGTGCTGATACTTGGCATTTTCATGAGAACTACCAGAGTTGCAGCGGTTGCCGCTGGGACCTGGCTCTGGCGCTCCACCACTGTCCTGAAATCATTAGTCTGTATTGTTTTAGAAAAACTGTCACATGACAATAAACAAAAATGTATCAGTACTTGTAAAAATGGTATCAGTGCATCCCTTTTATATATGTTTATAAAAACAAAATCGTACATTAAAACAGAGATGTACAAATCCCAGGAGCCTGGTGTGCTCCTTACAAATAACAGCTGCCTCCTAAGGCCTCATTCACACTGCCGCGCATATACACGCGTATGTGCGTGTTGTACCATATGCAACATATGCAAATAAATGAATCCATACACATAGCCGCGTATGGAGCCGTATGGCGTATATATGCGCAAAAACAGAATGGAACAGAGATGCGTCCGGGCAGCGTATTTCTGCGTATTTACGTGCACATACGTGTGTACAGCACATTCAAAATTCCATTACGAGTGATGCATTCTGAGATTGCATATAGTGCACGCATATACACATATACGCTCGTATATACGCAATGTACAATTTTGCTTGCGTTGTGTGTGAATGAGGCCTTAATTTTGAATTTTTCTCTAGTCTAGTCCCGGAGCTGGAAAAGTATCTGTACTTGTACTTGTACCGAGTACGGTACTTGGTATCTGAACATCCCTAATAGTTTTTATTGGCTCGGGTGTCAAGCTATAACCAAGGAGCATTGTTTGAGATTTCAGTTCAGTGCACAGGAAGTTAGCAACCAATATTTCTGGCAGGATCAACAGGTATATTTTCTGTACCGAAAGTGTACTCAGCCTTAGAAAGAAAACAAATGCAGCCAGGACATCAAAGGAATGATAAGTTGTAATATATTAAATGTTTGTTTTTGGGTTTTCTTACACCTTAACAGACCATAAGGAACAAATAAGAGAAGTTTATTGTTAGGGTTTACATACACTTTAAGTATAACTAAAGGCATTTTTTTTTTAGTTGTGGATAGAGTGGAGAGGGATTAGAACATCTGTCAGGTTTTCATTGCTGACTGTGTCCCCATTAGGGATAGTCACCCTCTCTATATGTCCTGGTGACAAAATCCCAAATGTTGGGTTGTCATCAGAACAAGAATAGATGGGAAATCTTCCAATCGGGACACTAGTTCAGGGGACCCTGCTGACCACCAGGGACTTCTCTCTTTGGAGGGATTTCCTCTTACTTCCTGTTTTGGCAGTCGGTGAAGCTAAATCTCCCCAAAGGGACACTTAGTGGTAATATAAAAAATAAAAAAAAAGCTGGCAGGGGTTATAATAGGGATACTATCATCGGTGCCGATACCGAGTACTTGGGCGAGTACTCGTACTCGCCCAAATAATCCGATGCCTTCCCAGATACTGGCACTTCCGGTCAGACGGAGATTTCCTCTGACCAGCAGCACTGTAGGGGAACAGGAAGCCGGCTTCCCGGGCAATCAGGAAGCTGGTGGCGAGCAATGACCTGCCTCCCGCGTTCCTGATTGGCCAGGAAGCCGGCTCTATGCTGATTTTCTGGGAAGCCGGCTTTCCAGACAATCAGCATAGAGCCGGCCATGTTATTACCCGTCACCCGCCTTCCTGATTGCCGGGGAAGCCAGCTCCATGCCAGCGGGAACACCGGTATCGGTACTCGGTATCGCCGGGTACCGAAAGCAAAATATCTGTACTCGTACTCAATACCGAAAAAACGGTATCGGTGCATCCCTAGTTATAACCCTCACTTACTTATCCAAAACAAACATCATTTTTGGCTTCTGTTCTACTTTAAGCATAACTAAAGGCATTTTTTTTATCTGGATAGAGGGGTGAGGGGATAGAACTAATGTCAGGTCTATAAATAATGTATATCCATATTAGGGAGAATCTATCGCTGTAATTGTCCTGAGCACCAATGTCACCGGGAATAAACGTAAGGCGTAACTCCAAAATTCAGAGTCACCACCAGAACAGGAATAGAGGAAAAATCCTCCAATGGTGGCACTTGTTCTGTGACAACTGTCTAAGAGGGGATATCTCTCACACTGGAGAGATATCTTCTCACTTCCTTTTCAGTCTGCAGGACAGGAAGTGAAGGGAAATCTCACTTGACACAGATGGCAAAAAAAAAAGAACAGATAGCATTTTTAATGTTTAGATTAGGGATGCACCAATACCGATACTAGTATCGGTATCGGTGCCGATGCCGGGTATTTGGGCGAGTACTCATCCAAATGCTCTGATGCCTAGCCCGATACTTCCGTTATCAGGAAGCCGAACAGCCCGTCATTACATGCTGCCCAGATTCCTGATTGGCCAGGAAACCGGCTCTATGCTCCCTCGTCACTTGCTTTCTGATTGGCCGGGAAGCCGGCTTCATGCTCGCTCTTCACCCTATGAGGAGGGAGCATGGAACCCGGCTTCCCGGCCAATCAGGAAGCCAGGCGCCGCGTCATTACGCGCCGCCCGGCTTCCCTGCTAATCTGGAAGTCGGGTGGCGAGTCTTTAAACGGCGCCCGGATTCCCGGCTAATCAGGAAGCCATGAGGCGAGTCATTACACGCCGCCTGTCTTCCTGAATGGGACTTCCGGTATTCGGTATCGACGAGTAACACAAAAAAAATATTGGTACTCGTACTTGATACGTACTTGATTTGGCCTGTTCCCTGGTGTCCCCCTGACAACGGAAAAAGCGGGATCTACCGGCAGCACCAACAGGTGATAAAACTGTTACCGGAGGGACTGCTGTGTTATTACTAATGACAGACGGCATGAAATCTGTCATTTGTTTATTCTGCCTTTAGTTCCACTTCAACATGCACTGTCATCCCCGGCATGGCGGCAGCACGCAGTGGTGGTGAAGGATGCACGTCAGGCGCACACTTGGACTGTCACTATGACAACTCCTCAGAGCAGCCATAGAGAAAGTTCCCATCTGACATCACTCCCGGGTGGGGACAACAGATGACAACGTCAGCCGCACACTTATCTGAGACCACAGGAAGTTTTCTTCTGAAAAATCATTTTCCTGTGTGAATGAAAACTTCTGGAATCATTTTCCAAAACACGCAAATCCAGGAAGTCGCCTCTTCCTGTACCGCCGCGCTGCGTTATGTTCTCACCCTCCACTGCAGGGCTCCTCTATTTACTTTATATGGGGGGGGGGGGCTGACATCAACAAAAGGGCAGGCCCTTTCAGTGAATGTAATGCTATGGAAACTGTCAGAGACTGCAGACATGCTACAGGAGATGGTCAGAGACTATGGGCCTGCTACAAGAGATTGTCAAAGAATGCAGGCATACAACAGGGGATGGTCAGAGACTGTTGACATGCTGCAGTAGATGGTCAGAGACTATGGGCATGTTACAAGAGATGGTCAGAGACTGCAGACATACAACAGGAGATGGTCATAGACTATGGGTATGCTATAAAAGATGGTCAGAGACTGCAGACATGCTGCAGTAGATGGTCAGAAACTGCAGACAAGCTGCAGTAGATGGTCAGAGACTACGGGCATGCTACAGTAAAGGGTCAGAGACTACAGACATGCTACAGTAGATGATCAGAGACTGCAGACTACAGTAGATGGTCAGAGACTGCAGACATGCTACAGGAGATAGTCAGAGACTACGGGCATGCTACAGTAAAGGGTCAGAGACTACAGACATGCTACAGTAGATGATCAGAGACTGCAGACTACAGTAGATGGTCAGAGACTGCAGACATGCTACAGGAGATAGTCAGAGACTACGGGCATGCTACAGTAGATGGTCAGAGAGTACGGGCATGCTATAGTAGATGGTCAGAGAGTACGGGCATGCTCCAAGGGATGGTTAGAGATTGCAGACATAGAACAGGAGATGGTCAGAGACTATGGGCATGCTACAAAAGATGATCAGAGACTACAGGCATGCTATAGAAGATGGTTAGAGTAGGGCTGCAACAACTAATCGACATAATCGATTATAATCGATTATTGAAAAAGTTGTCAACTTTTTCAATCATCGATTAATCGGCTTCCGATTGGTTGGCCTTGTTCACTGCTCCACACACGCTGCGCGCCACACCTCCTCCCCACCTCACGCTCGCCGCTGCCAGATCTGCCCGCATCCACACTCCACACGCCGCACCTCCTCCCCGCCTGCCCAAATCCACGATCGGCACAGGGACGCGGGGAGAAGAAGTAAGGAGGAGCAGGTGTGGGGGGATGACAGCCACCGATAGACAGGCCCGATCTCAGAAACAAGTTGCTGGAAGACTGCTCAGTTAAGCCTGCACCCCCCCCGCCCCCCATGGTGCTCTATAATGTATTGCTGGGATTTGTATTCGGCTAACTAATCGATTTTGAAAATAATCGTTAGCTGCAGCTCTAGGTTAGAGACTGTAGAAATGCTGCAGGAGATGGTCAGGGACTTCAGGCATGCTACAGTAGATGGTCAGAGACTGAAAGGGAACATCCCCCCAAGTTCAGCTTTAACTACCTCCGGGCCATGGTGTCTATTTAACCGACGTGAACCCGACTTTTATATTTTACCAAAAAACTGGGTAATAATAAATGTTTCCTAACATAATGTTAAAAAAAACTTTTTTTTTTTCAAAATTTTATGTAATTTTTCCTAATTATAGTAAAAAATAAAAACCGTAGTGGTGATGAAATACCACCAAAAGAAAGCTCTATGTGTCCCCAAAAAATGGTATAAAATTCATTTTAGTACATGACGGAATAAACGTCAGTCAAAGTACCTCAGCGCTGAATACTGAAAAATGGCCTGGCCAGGAAGGGGGTCTAAACACCTGGTCTTGAAGTGGTTAAAAAATAAAACATTAATTTAAAACAATTCCTTAAAAGCCTCCAAGGATATACAATACAGTCTGCAGGGGCCCCAAGTGGCAAAGGGCCACAGGTCGGGCACCAGGGTTCTCCTGTATATTCTAGCTGTTGCCACTCTCAGGTATTCCTAACCAAACCTCAATCATAAGAACAATCAAAGTTCCAGTGACAAGAAGAACCATCAGATGACGTGTCCTCCCAGCTGTTTACATGGACCCAGCTGTACACAGACCTGTCATACTGGGAGCTAGACCACCACTGCAGCATGACATCTGCCCATACCACAATCAAAGGATCAATACATGGCAATCAGTGAAGCCGCAGGATGGGGATGACACGTCCAAACCAATAAAAAGACATAAAGCAGCCATTGCAGTTGTTTGCGGGCAGAGGCATGGCAGGAATGTGTGCAGCCATCAGCAGGGAGGAGGACGGGTTGTTTACAATACACTGCAGATTTTCAGCTTACAATGGCCATTTGTGTTTCTGCGATGGCGATGCGTGTTAGTAAATAGGTGTCGGTGCGATGGTGCTGCGATGGAGGTGCAGGATGAGGGTCCTTACCGTTAGCTATCCAGGAAGGAAGGAAGAGGAGGGGTTGCAGGAAGATGCTGGAGGGGGCAGATCGGTGTGTGTGGGTGTACGGATGTTGGGGAGGGGGATCCCCGGATCTGGCGATGATCTGGAAGGTTGGGGTGCTGTAGCTTACCGGTGCAGCGATGTAGAGTGTCGGGCCCCGGGCTGCCAGCACTGACACTGCCGCTTATGACGTCACACGACCTCGTTTTCGAGCATCTCTCTCTCTCTCTCTCTCTCTCTCTCTCTCTCTCTCTCTCTCTCTCTGCAGCTTCTCCGTGTGTCACCACCGCCGTGTGTCACTGACAACAACGAGCTGAGAGACTACCTATGGTGTTGCTGACACCACGTGATCACCTGTATGAAACAGCCCTTGTCATGTCTTATGAGTGGCCCCTTCATCCCATCCACATAACATGACACCCCCCAAAAAAAAACATACGGCATACAATACAGAGAATGAGAGGTTATGTAGAACTAAAAGTCCCAGCATGCACACTGCATTTCACAAATGAGCTGGGGAATTACACTGCACCGTGCATGTGCCTCAGGCAGTGTACACTAGGCCCCATCCACACCTCTGAGCAGGGATGTCCCTAGGTAAATGGCTGCTTGAGGCAATGTCGTTCTGTCAGTCTCCATTCACACCTAGGCCTCAGTATTTCCACGTGTAAAATGCAGGTTTTTATGCACGTCTTTCCCTCGCATGGTTTCTGGCGCCTTGCACATTTTCACGCGCGTTAGATGGGGTTGCCACTTTTTCTTCAGGTGAAACCCGAACACTAGCAAGACGTACGGAAATTTGTATTTGTGGAGAATAAAGAGGAGAGAGCAAGGAGAAGCAGCCAGGAGAAAGAACAAGAAGAGACAGCTAAAGGAAGAAATAGGGAGACCGGCTATAGAGGACTACAAATCCCAGCAATATATTATACAGCAGTACAAAATAATATGAAACTACATATTCTGTGTTGTTCCGGGGTGGCGCCCTGATGCCTCCAGGGTCTCAGGTGGCCTGTAAGGAATCAACTGGGCTTTGGGGGCTCTCAGGTGGACTCTGTGGGCTGTGCAGACTCTTGGGTGGGTTGTGCGATCTATTGGGTGGGTTGTGAAGACTCTTGGGTGGGTTGTGAGGACTCTCGGGTGGGCTGTGCAGACTCTTGGGTGGGCTGTGCGGACTCTCGGGTGGGCTGTGCGAACTCTCGGGTGGGCTGTGCAGACTCTCAGATGATTGTGTGGGGTCTCAGGTGGGCTATGAGGGCTTGCAGGTGGGCTATGTGGGCGCTCTGGTACTGTGTTCAGCCAAGGCATGCGGAGTACAGGCCACTAGCGCTCCGGTTCTGTGCTCAGCCAAGGAATGCGGAGTACAGGTCACTAGCGCTCCGGTACTGTGTTCAGCCAAGGCATGCAGAGTACAGGCCACTAGCGCTATGGTTCTGTGTTCAGCCAAGGCATGCAGAGTACAGGCCACTAGCGCTTCGGTACTGTGTTCAGCCAAGGAATGCGGAGTACAGGCCACTAGCGCTCTGGTACTGTGTTCAGCCAAGGCATGCGGAGTACAGGCCACTAGCGCTCTGGTACTGTGTTCAGCCAAGGCATGCGGAGTACAGGCCACTAGCGCTATGGTTCTGTGTTCAGCCAAGGCATGCAGAGTACAGGCCACTAGCGCTTCGGTACTGTGTTCACCCAAGGAATGCGGAGTACAGGCCACTAGCGCTCTGGTACTGTGTTCAGCCAAGGCATGCGGAGTACAGGCCACTAGCGCTATGGTTCTGTGTTCAGCCAAGGCATGCAGAGTACAGGCCACTAGCGCTCTGGTACTGTGTTCAGCCAAGGCATGCGGAGTACAGGCCACTAGCGCTCTGGTTCTGTGTTCAGCCAAGGCATGCAGAGTACAGGCCACTAGTGCTCTGGTTCTCTGTTCAGCCAAGGCATGCAGAGTACAGGCCACTAGCACTCTGGTTCTGTGTTCGGCCAAGGCATGCAGAGTACAGGCCACTAGCGCTCTGGTACTGTGTTCGGCTAAGGCATGCAGAGTACAGGCCACTAGCACTCTGGTACTGTGTTCAGCCAAGGCATGCGGAGTACAGGCCACTAGCGCTCTGGTTCTGTGTTCAGCCAAGGCATGCAGAGTACAGGCCACTAGCGCTCTGGTACTGTCTTCGGCTAAGGCATGCAGAGTACAGGCCACTAGCACTCTGGTACTGTGTTCAGCCAAGGCATCCGGAGTACAGGCCACTAGCCCTCTGGTTCTCTGTTCAGCCAAGGCATGCAGAGTACATGCCACTAGCACTCTGGTTCTGTGTTCAGCCAAGGCATGCAGAGTACAGGCCACTAGCGCTCTGGTACTGTGTTCGGCTAAGGCATGCAGAGTACAGGCCACTAGCGCTCTGGTACTGTGTTCGGCTAAGGCATGCAGAGTACAGGCCACTAGCGCTCTGGTACTGTGTTCGGCTAAGGCATGCAGAGTACAGGCCACTAGCGCTCTGGTACTGTGTTCGGCTAAGGCATGCAGAGTACAGGCCACTAGCGCTCTGGTACTGTGTTCGGCTAAGGCATGCAGAGTACAGGCCACTAGCGCTCTGGTACTGTGTTCGGCTAAGGCATGCAGAGTACAGGCCACTAGCGCTCTGGTACTGTGTTCGGCTAAGGCATGCAGAGTACAGGCCACTAGCGCTCTGGTACTGTGTTCGGCTAAGGCATGCAGAGTACAGGCCACTAGCGCTCTGGTACTGTGTTCGGCTAAGGCATGCAGAGTACAGGCCACTAGCGCTCTGGTACTGTGTTCGGCTAAGGCATGCAGAGTACAGGCCACTAGCGCTCTGGTACTGTGTTCGGCTAAGGCATGCAGAGTACAGGCCACTAGCGCTCTGGTACTGTGTTCGGCTAAGGCATGCAGAGTACAGGCCACTAGCGCTCTGGTACTGTGTTCGGCTAAGGCATGCAGAGTACAGGCCACTAGCGCTCTGGTACTGTGTTCGGCTAAGGCATGCAGAGTACAGGCCACTAGCGCTCTGGTACTGTGTTCGGCTAAGGCATGCAGAGTACAGGCCACTAGCGCTCTGGTACTGTGTTCGGCTAAGGCATGCAGAGTACAGGCCACTAGCGCTCTGGTACTGTGTTCGGCTAAGGCATGCAGAGTACAGGCCACTAGCGCTCTGGTACTGTGTTCGGCTAAGGCATGCAGAGTACAGGCCACTAGCGCTCTGGTACTGTGTTCGGCTAAGGCATGCAGAGTACAGGCCACTAGCGCTCTGGTACTGTGTTCGGCTAAGGCATGCAGAGTACAGGCCACTAGCGCTCTGGTACTGTGTTCGGCTAAGGCATGCAGAGTACAGGCCACTAGCGCTCTGGTACTGTGTTCGGCTAAGGCATGCAGAGTACAGGCCACTAGCGCTCTGGTACTGTGTTCGGCTAAGGCATGCAGAGTACAGGCCACTAGCGCTCTGGTACTGTGTTCGGCTAAGGCATGCAGAGTACAGGCCACTAGCGCTCTGGTACTGTGTTCGGCTAAGGCATGCAGAGTACAGGCCACTAGCGCTCTGGTACTGTGTTCGGCTAAGGCATGCAGAGTACAGGCCACTAGCGCTCTGGTACTGTGTTCGGCTAAGGCATGCAGAGTACAGGCCACTAGCGCTCTGGTACTGTGTTCGGCTAAGGCATGCAGAGTACAGGCCACTAGCGCTCTGGTACTGTGTTCGGCTAAGGCATGCAGAGTACAGGCCACTAGCGCTCTGGTACTGTGTTCGGCTAAGGCATGCAGAGTACAGGCCACTAGCGCTCTGGTACTGTGTTCGGCTAAGGCATGCAGAGTACAGGCCACTAGCGCTCTGGTACTGTGTTCGGCTAAGGCATGCAGAGTACAGGCCACTAGCGCTCTGGTACTGTGTTCGGCTAAGGCATGCAGAGTACAGGCCACTAGCGCTCTGGTACTGTGTTCGGCTAAGGCATGCAGAGTACAGGCCACTAGCGCTCTGGTACTGTGTTCGGCTAAGGCATGCAGAGTACAGGCCACTAGCGCTCTGGTACTGTGTTCGGCTAAGGCATGCAGAGTACAGGCCACTAGCGCTCTGGTACTGTGTTCGGCTAAGGCATGCAGAGTACAGGCCACTAGCGCTCTGGTACTGTGTTCGGCTAAGGCATGCAGAGTACAGGCCACTAGCGCTCTGGTACTGTGTTCGGCTAAGGCATGCAGAGTACAGGCCACTAGCGCTCTGGTACTGTGTTCGGCTAAGGCATGCAGAGTACAGGCCACTAGCGCTCTGGTACTGTGTTCGGCTAAGGCATGCAGAGTACAGGCCACTAGCGCTCTGGTACTGTGTTCGGCTAAGGCATGCAGAGTACAGGCCACTAGCGCTCTGGTACTGTGTTCGGCTAAGGCATGCAGAGTACAGGCCACTAGCGCTCTGGTTCTCTGTTCAGCCAAGGCATGCGGAGTACAGGCCACTAGCGCTACGGTACTGTGTTCAGCCAAGGCATGCGGAGTACAGGCCACTAGCGCTCTGGTTCTCTGTTCAGCCAAGGCATGCAGAGTACAGGCCACTAGCGCTCTGGTTCTCTGTTCAGCCAAGGCATGCAGAGTACAGGCCACTAGCGCTCTGGTTCTCTGTTCAGCCAAGGCATGCAGAGTACAGGCCACTAGCGCTCTGGTTCTCTGTTCAGCCAAGGCATGCAGAGTACAGGCCACTAGCGCTCTGGTTCTCTGTTCAGCCAAGGCATGCAGAGTACAGGCCACTAGCGCTCTGGTTCTCTGTTCAGCCAAGGCATGCAGAGTACAGGCCACTAGCGCTCTGGTTCTCTGTTCAGCCAAGGCATGCAGAGTACAGGCCACTAGCGCTCTGGTTCTCTGTTCAGCCAAGGCATGCAGAGTACAGGCCACTAGCGCTCTGGTTCTCTGTTCAGCCAAGGCATGCAGAGTACAGGCCACTAGCGCTCTGGTTCTCTGTTCAGCCAAGGCATGCAGAGTACAGGCCACTAGCGCTCTGGTTCTCTGTTCAGCCAAGGCATGCAGAGTACAGGCCACTAGCGCTCTGGTTCTCTGTTCAGCCAAGGCATGCAGAGTACAGGCCACTAGCGCTCTGGTTCTCTGTTCAGCCAAGGCATGCAGAGTACAGGCCACTAGCGCTCTGGTTCTCTGTTCAGCCAAGGCATGCAGAGTACAGGCCACTAGCGCTCTGGTTCTCTGTTCAGCCAAGGCATGCAGAGTACAGGCCACTAGCGCTCTGGTTCTCTGTTCAGCCAAGGCATGCAGAGTACAGGCCACTAGCGCTCTGGTTCTCTGTTCAGCCAAGGCATGCAGAGTACAGGCCACTAGCGCTCTGGTTCTCTGTTCAGCCAAGGCATGCAGAGTACAGGCCACTAGCGCTCTGGTTCTCTGTTCAGCCAAGGCATGCAGAGTACAGGCCACTAGCGCTCTGGTTCTCTGTTCAGCCAAGGCATGCAGAGTACAGGCCACTAGCGCTCTGGTTCTGTGTTCAGCAAAAGCATGTACAGTACAGGTCCCTGTGAATAGTGCTCTGTGCATGTAAAGGGCACAGGGCACGCACTTCCCTACCCAGCAGTTGGGAAATTCGGTGCTGTGGGACCTTTGTCTGGTATTTCATTTTAACTGTAATTCTGAAAGACAATATGACATCATCAGGCTCAAAATATGAATTCCTTTCTTTTAGCTAATGGTTTGAACACAAGTGGGCTTGTTCTACAGTATAAGGCAATGCAAAGAGCAGTAGTAGTGTGATCCAGTGCTGTACCTGTGCCCAACACACCCCTCATCATGGCATCCTCATGCCTCTGCACCTCCAGAACCTAAAAGGATCCACCACTGAACAACCAATGTGAAGTGTCCATTTCACCCAGGCTTGAGTGAAGATAGCGCCATCTCACTATGTTGTGAGGAGGAGAGAAGACTAGGAACCTGGTGTCTCATGTCAGCACGGATTTAGGTCAGGAAAAAGGGGACTTTTATATTAGTCTTGTTCATAAAAAAACTAACATGGTGATTGGTTGGTGAGGTGTGCAGGGGGGTTAGTTATGCCAAGAGAACAGCTTTAGCCTGAAGTTTAATTTGCTTTTATTATGCCTTCCCTGGCCCCCCCCCCCCCCTCATCAACATGCTGAGGACATTTTTAAATAAAGCCATTCGCTGAGTCTGTCTGCTTCTTCTGTGCAATGCAGGCAGATCATGGCTGATGGAAGGGCCTGGAGTGGTGTTGTACAATGCTTCATAAAACCATCACCCTGGGCGGGCTCCTTGGAAGAGTTAGGCAAATATCAAAATGCCTTGATGTGTGGGTGTCAGTATAGGAGGAAAGTGCTAAATGATGCTTGACATCCTTCAGCCAGGAATTTCTGCAGCTTTTAATACACGCTGTGGGAAGCTCGCAGTGTGCAGTGAAATCAAAACAAACAATTTTAATACAGAAGTGGAGCCTGCAAGACTGAAGTTAAAGCTAGCTATACACTGTTATACCCTGTTAGCGGGGCTGGACGAGATGCACACTAACAGTGAGGAAGATGGAGTATTCCCCCACCGGTCTGTTTTATTCTAACAGCAGTGGGTGAGTCGCTGTTAAAGCACCCGAACAGTGACTGCAGCTGATTGGCCTTGACACATGAGCATAACATCACATGTCAGATGATCGGTAATCCTCAACATCTGTATTACACACGGCATGCAGAAAATGCTGGACAGCCTGTGAGTCTTCTGTACCAAGGAAGTGAAAGGAGCCACGTCTTATCTTCCTGCTTATTATGAAGGATAACAATTCCACAAATATGGAAATAAAATGATACCTGGTGACCAGTGTTGGGGTTTTTTCTGGGGGGGGGTATCCCTGGCTTCTTGTTCTTGCATTAGACTTCAGGATTAGAGTTCACATTAGAACCCAGCTTTGAATTGTATATTTATCACGCATCCTAGGAGAGTGATTGATTCCTAGAGACATGTAATCGTCTCACATACAATTACATGGGGTGTACCGGCATTCAAATGCAGCGGCTGTCCCCCGATCATTAACTTGACTAGTGTCAGTTGCCACCATAATAGGGACTACTGATGCAGGAATCCCTAATTGCACCTAAGATATAGACGGGAATGGGGCCTAAGACAGTGAGTCCAGAGATGGTTAACAAAACGGTGGGAGGTCTGAGGGATGAAACATAGCAGGACTGACCGGAGACATCAGGAGTCTAAAAGACCCCAGATGTCTCCATATACAGACCATATCACCTCAAAATACTGTCACATAGCGGCAGGGCCGAAGCTGGAGGGGCATGTTCGTCGGTGTTAAGCCTGATAAAGGGACCCGGCGTGGTCCCGAAAGCACTTGTTTCCATTTTGACAAGTTGTTCAATAAAATGAGCATTTGGTGATCCTGAAAGGATTTTCGGTGTCCTGGTGACCTTCTTCATAACCAATCTATGCATACAGCGGTGCCATCCGCAGTCATTACGAGCCCCTTCGCCATCGTTTGGGATATAGGGGTGCAACAAGATCTTCTTCATCTGGAGGGGCATGTGCCCCGCGTGCCGCTTTAGGAGAGGCGCCACTGGGTATGTGGATGGAGGACTTCTCCCTTGGAGATGGGGGAGCAACTCTGAGCCTTTTCCCCGGGTGACAGAATGTCTAGCTTCCCCACTGCATAGGAGAGCGAGGGGATAGAGAGCAAGGATAGACAGCGGGGAGAGAGAGCGAGGAGAGACAGCCAGGGGAACGAGGGGATAGAGAGCAAGGATAGATAGCGGGGAGAGAGAGCAAGGAGAGACAGCCAGGAGAGAGCGCGAGGAGAGACAGCCAGGAGAGAGCGCGAGTAGAGACAGCCAGGAGAGAGAGCGAGGAGAGACAGCCAGGAGAGAGAGCAGGGAGAGACAGCCAGGAGAGAGAGCAAGGAGAGACAGCCAGGAGAGAGCGCGAGGAGAGACAGCCAGGAGAGAGCGCGAGGAGAGACAGCCAGGAGAGAGAGCGAGGAGAGACAGCCAGGAGAGAGCACGAGGAGTGATAGCCTGGAGAAAGAGCGAAGAGAGACAGCCAGGAGAGAGCGTGAGGAGAGACAGCCAGGAGAGAGCGTGAGGAGAGACAGCCAGGAGAGAGCGCGAGGAGTGATAGCCAGGAGTAAGAGCGAAGAGAGACAGCCAGGAGAGAGCGTGAGGAGAGACAGCCAGGAGAGAGAGCGAGGAGAGACAGCCAGGAGAGAGCACGAGGAGTGATAGCCTGGAGAAAGAGCGAAGAGAGACAGCCAGGAGAGAGCGCAAGGAGAGACAGCCAGCGTGAGGAGAGACAGCCAGGAGAGAGCGTGAGGAGAGACAGCTAGGATAGAGAGCAAGGAGAGAGAGCAAGGGATGTTGGGACCGCACTGTGCGAGGTTGGCCGTGTATTTCCAGCACATCTGGTGTGAATAAGCCCGGACAGTTCTCACTTCTCAAAGTTGAGATTTATCAAATTTAAAAGGGAATTTGTCTTGTAACATGTGTGTCTCTCAGCAACGTTCTGGCCAATTATACTGGCTAAACAGCCCTGTTCTAGAGTAGTACAGCTGACAGGATTGAGAGCTTGCGTTGCCTAGCAACAAGACCTAGCTGCTTCTCTGCCAGAGTGTTCGTTGTTAACAAAGTTTGTTGAAAGCGGCGTTGCTGCGCTGTGTTGAGGAAGCGCTTCTGGTAACTAAGACCGGCAAACATGGCGGCGGAGGGTGAGCAACGTGCTGCTAGTGAAGTGTCTCAGGCCGTGGCCCGGCACCTGAACTGCCTGAACGATGACAATAAGAGCACCAGGAAGAGAGCCCTGGCCGCCATCCAGAAGGAAGCCGAAGACAAGAGGCTGTCCAGCGCGGCGCTGCAAGAAGTGTTCGGGGAGCTGCTGAAACCTCTGCTCAAGTGCCTTTCAGACCCCATGGAAAGGTGCAGAGAGCTGGCCATCCAGATCATCACCTACTGTGTCACTAATGTGCCCAGGCCCGAGGAGGCTCTGCCCTACCTGATACCAAGCATCACCCAGCGCCTGGGCAATCAGGAGATCACAGAGCCCTCCGAGGAGCTCAGGCTGGCCCTAACCGAGCTACTCACTCTCCTGGTGGAGGTCTGTGGGAAAAAACTGAAACCTTACCTGGATGAGATGTTTAGGATATTACAGAGGACTACTATAGACCCATTCCCTGATGTGAAGAAGGAGAGCTGCAAGTGTGCTGCCAACTATGCCAAGAGTATACCAGGTAGAGAACAATAGCAGATTGTTCACACAGCCCCCCTGTATCCTGATACTGTTTCTGTGTATATACCCAGAGCAAAGCAGGATCCCATAGAGAACTGCAGTATACACAGGGATTGTATACACCCCTAAAACCCTGAGAACTCCTTTTTTATTGTTTGTATTGTCAAGCATGTATGAAAACAAAAATATTTCTCTCATTCAATAATCGCCCCCTCTTTGGCTGTCACCCATAAAGATGTATCTCCTTAATCCCTGCACACTGAACATGAGAGATCATTCGATTCTCCAATCCATGCTAAACAGGCCCAAAATCCCAGGCTGGCAATTGTATACTGACATCAACGGGTGTGCAGCTGTCAGGATACCAGAGGAGTGTACTACTTTAAAGTGCATACAAACCCTAACAAAGAAACTTCTTTTTTTTTTTGCTTCCTTTTAGGTCTGCTTCGTAAGAAAAAGCAGGTTTGATAAGAAATAAAAATTGTCAGGTGTCCTCTCCACACTTCCTATGTTATCTTAAAGAGCCCTCCTAGTATTTCTCTCGGACTACACAATGCTTGGCCTTTATGTTGTGATCTGAGAATAGGAGTGGTTCCCTCTGAGGCCCACATCATTGTATCCAGTATCTGTTCTCTATTTTTATTTTTGTCTGTCTCTAAAAGATACTCAAGATATACATCTTTCTTTGTTGTTGCAGAACATTTCCACATGCAGTCCGAATCGCTCATCAAGCCTCTTATGCAGACAGTATCGCACCAGCATTCGAAGGTGCGCATAGCTGTCATCCAGACAACAGGAGCAGTGATACAGTATGGTAATGGGAAGTCAGTGGACGATGTTCTTTCTCATTTGGCACAGAGACTTTTTGATGATTCACCACAGGTATATAATACTTTAATAATGATCCTTGAAGTAATACATTTCACAGTTACTGCCTATTATAGACCCATCTGTGCATTCTCCCAACCCATCTTTCTCTCCTCTCCTTCTCCTCCTCTACCTGTTAACAGCTGCTCACCCACCACCGCTCTCTGCAATCCGCACCCCGTCTCCTCCTCTACACTGATAACAGCTACTCACCCACCACCGCTCTCTGCAATCCGCACCCCGTCTCCTCCTCTACACTGATAACAGCTACTCACCCACCACCACTCTGCAATCCGCACCCAGTCTCCTCCTCTACATTGATAACAGCTGCTCACCCACCACCACTCTGCAATCCGCACCCCTTCTCCTCCTCTACACTGATAACAGCTACTCACTCACCACCACTCTGCAATCCGCACCCCTTCTCCTCCTCTACACTGATAACAGCTGCTCACCCACCACCGTTCCAAGCAATCCGCACCCCGTCTCCTCCTCTACACTGATAACAGCTGCTCACCCACCACCACTCTTTGCAGTCCACATCCCGTCTCCTCCTCTACACTGATAACAGCTGCTCACCCACCACCACTCTTTGCAGTCCACACCCCTTCTCCTCCTCTACACTGATAACAGCTACTCACCCAACACTGCTCTTTGCAATCTGCAGCCCTTCTCCTCCTCTACACTGTTTACAGCTGCTCACCCACCACCACCCTTTACAGCCTGCAGCCCTCCTTCTCTACACTGTTTATAGCTGCTCGCCCACCACCCCTCTTTGCGATCCGCACCTGTTCTCTGCACTGTTAACAGCTGCTCACCCACCACCGCTCTTGGCAATCTGCAGCCCTTCTCCTCCTCTACACTGTAGGTAGCCCAACCATCTTAATTCTCATGTTCTATCTTGTGTATCCCCCAGCAAAAAAAGCTGATGTTTAAACTGTCACTTTCTTACTATAAGCTCCTATTGGCAGAGCTCCCTTCTTTCTATCATTGGACTTCCCCCCC